CCATTCTCTGGACACGCTCCAGCACCTCAATATCTTTCTTGTTAGTATTTTTATTTTTGCATCAGTTATATTATTCTTGCATTATTGCATTATTTGTTACAGCATTCTTGTATTTGTCAGTCTCATTTCGTAGCAAGCTGCTCCAAGGTCCCTGAACCTGCTGACAGCTCATGTCTTTGTAACATAGCTCTTGAAATCCTCCATGCTCAATTCCCCCCACTCCTCCTCTTCTCTCCTCCATCCCTCCACTTGTCTCTGTTCCCACATCTCCTCTCTGACAGCCCCTCACTGGAAGGTGCATTGTTGCCTGCAGCTGGAACAGTGTGCAGACAGTAAGGCACAGGGAAGATCCTGGCACCAGGATCCTGGCACCTGGGTATTTCAGGATGGTTATACTGAAGTGCCAGCATTCCAATTACAGGCATTGCAGAAGCAGGAGCCATTCAACCCTTGCCATTAACTGGCATTGGAGGTGTCTGGCTTAGCAACTTACCTTTCAAGCTCAATAGGTCTAGAGGAACCTTCAAATGGGAACTAAACATACTACAATTCCCCAAATGCAGCAATGATGCCAGCAATGATTTACTCCATGATGGCAGAAGATGCTTTGACCTGATTTGGAAAATCACATGATGGCAGATGCTTTGAATGTGATGGTCCTGTCACAGCACCAACAGTACATGCTGGATGATGGTGCCACCACCCTCCTGGGTCTTGGGGGGGGGGGGGATGTCAGATAACCCCCTTTTTTGTCCATTTCATAATAAAACCAACAAAAGTAGTTTTAAAAGGTGAGGATTAACGAACCTGAAAATGAAACCAAACCATTTACAGGGCTTTTTTTGCCTCTAGTCTCCTTTGGTTCAGCCAGCGAACCAAAACCTCCATTATTCACAGAGCAGAAACAAGTTGTAGGAGCATTCAAGAATTAGATGCAATTAAATATGCACAGGCAGCCCAACAGCAAGGTGATTTCTCTGCGAGTTGTCTGGCTGTGTATTAAGAGTTGCTGGTGGTGGGCTTGTCGCCGAGTTACATATTTCCCCTGAGATCAAAACAAATCAACATTTCCCCGCTCGGTGTTTTTGAAGATGATGTTTCAGTAACAGCTGAACAGCAGGGTCTGGAAGAGAACAGGATTATAAGCAGAATATTAAAGGAGGAAAAATTCAAAGACTACAAGAACTCAAGGAGAGGAGATGGAACAAATTATTATTATTATTTTAAATTATTTGGGTTTAAATGATATCTCCTATGACTTCTCATGGGCACAAATTTAATGGAGCTGCACTGTTTGCTTGCAAATTATCAACCCCAAAGTACTTTGATAAAACCAGACCATAATATGATCAAGGAGATGGGGAAAAAAAGAAGAGCAGGGGATTCAGAAATAAGGGGATCAACCTCTAAAGATGCCAGATTTCCTGTTCTGGAGAAAAAAAAAAAATCACAAGAAAAATGTAACTGCAGGCTCTCAGGTAGGATAGCTTGCAATGTATACAGTATTCCCATTTAGGGAACAGCCAGGACATTATACTGCTGTTTTTCTCTTTGATTATACACATTTCTGTGTGAGGTCAACATCTTAAGATTATCTTTTTTGTGCAGTGTTCTGGGAGCACTTCTGCTGTGTCTTTCCTCTGTCAATCTGCAGCTTTTCTCTCCCTACTGCTGCCAGCTTCACTAAATGAAGGGCAGGTTTTTCTGCAGTGAAAGATGCTTTTTCCTTTGGGGGGTAAAAAAACCCCCAACAAAACAGCAGGGGGGATATAATTGTACTCATCACCTGCAGGCAGATATATTGCAGTTTCTATTTGGTGTTTCAAGGATATGATAAAAAGTCCAGTTTGCTCATCTGGGTTTAGTGGAAGAAATTGAAGCTGGTTTTCTGCAGGGGCATGAGAAACTGTGGGAATAAGGATCCCCACTGGATTGATACCCACAGGGGACATCCCTCCTCGGTCAGGACAGGTTCCCATCAGTAACACTACCTGGTCTCCATAATCATTGTGTCCCCAGGGTTTTACAGGACTGGGAAACACTGGAGGAAATGGGGTGGGCTCTTTGCTATGGTGAACAATGGGGCCCTCTCAGTTTTTAGGGTGATCACTGCTCAAGCCATGCAAATATCAGCCCTATTTTACCTCACTGGAAGCAGGACACATCATGGGGGCTGTGCTGGTAATGCAAGCCTGATTTATTATTTAATAATAAGTTGTATACATGACTTTTATCATCCTTAGTGCTCCTGCTTACAAATCTCTTTGTCAGATTTGGTGTGAGACACAAATATCCTTTAATTTGATCAAACAAGCAATAAACCCCATCTGGCTCAGCTGGCACGAGCACCCTCCAGCCAGAGCATCTGTACTGCTTTACACCTGCAGAGATTTTGGCCCAAGTTTTGCTATAGCTGAGCTCCAGACAGTAAAAAATAACATTGATTTTCAATTCTCCAAGTAACAAAAAAATGGATTTTTTCTTTCATTCTGCAGGCAGAAGGACATTACCACCAGCACAGCTTTTCTTAGCATAAAACTGGGCTAATCAATGTGTGACAGCCTGCATGATAAAAAGAGCGTGGTTCCACAGAAATGTGGATTAAAAAAAACCCAAACCCACAGTCAATAGGAATGTTTCTATCCTATGTAGAAGTGCCATTGATTTGTATCTTGGACCTAGCACGGGACATGGTTCATCACAGATGTTTTCCTTGCACAATTTCAAACTGAAATTTCAAACTAGTTTCCCACTGTATATGCATGATACATACCTGGAAACACATGAAAAATGAGCTCCCTGCCATTCCTTGTTTCAATCAGAAGTATCTTAAAAAATTTAAGGCTTAAAGGTGTCTGAGATCCAGGACAACGGCAGGAAATACCAGATGAGGGCATCGGCATGTCCAAACTTAAGTCTTTCATGATTTTATGAGCCATTCTATTTAATTAAAGACCCCTTCTTAGGCTCCCAGTGTGAGGCTCCTCACACTGGAGAGGATTAGAGGAGAAGCTCCTCTAACAATCCTGTGCATCTCTTTTGCTTTCCTCAAGATTTCCCCACAAGTATTCACCCTAGTGCATGTTGAAGCAGCCTATTTTTTAATCTATTCTGCGAGTGGGGTCCTATTAACATATTGCAAAGGTCATAATAAATGATAGTAATGAATGCTGTCAGATATTATCTGCTATACAGGACCCATACCTGCAGTCACTAGCTCCAGACTGAAACATCTCACAAGGAGAAAAACCTTGTTTCGTTTCAAGCAGGACTGGGGGGAGGAGACAGCACAAACCTGTCCAAATTAACACTTCAAATGAAGCATCAGCACTGGGAAAGCCTCATCTTGCAGAAAATCCACCCGGATCTCCAGTGCCTGAGTCAGGAGGTAGCATGGTGCATCTTGGCACCATGGGTGCCCCCAGAGCTCCCCATCTCCAGCTCCTTCGATGGGCTTTCCTTTCAGGCTCCGCTGTGACTGCTCCAGATGATGTTTTGCGAGTGGCAAACTGAGGTGGAAGATGATAAAAAACAGTAGGAACAGGGCAGAAAGCAGAGCCTAGGGAAGGGCTGGAGCCTTGCCAGCATAAGCTTTCTCTGACCATGGATGATAACTCCAGCCAGCTGAGGCACAAGTCCTTCCTGGACAGTGTGGTCTGAAGGTTTGGTCTGAATTCAGCTAGAAAAATCCATGCTGTAATGAGTAAGAGTGACTACTTTCTCCCTCATACTAAATTTAGCTTAGAGCTAAATCAGCCACATCTCTGATCAGGTCCTTCTCCTAAATTAGCCAAATCTGAAAGGGGCAAAGACAGAGCGGGGCTGCCAGAGTGACAGGAGATAACATATTCATTTCCAGGGAAGAATATTTTCATCATTAGGATAAACTTGAAACTGAGTCTTATTCAGGTAATCAAAACATCTTTGATAATTCACTTCCCACCATTCCTGTACAGTATTCAGGCTATAAATAACTGTGTTTTAGGTATAAAAGACTTGCAAACCATCCTCCTCATAGTCTCCAGTGTGACAAAACAACTCCAGCAGGGTTAATGGCTGCTGGATATAAAGGCAATATCAGTCATAGTTCATTTGTCATCAGGTATCCGGGGTGGACACACGCTCTGCAGAGCAGGACTGACAGACTTGTCAGGATGCAGGGGGATTGGTACCAGGAAGGTCCCTTTCATCCAGCAGTGAGACATTTAGGATGAAGACAGAGGATAACTGTGTAATGACAGGTGAAGTATTTCTTAGCTGGTCACCCAGGGACAAGCAGCATTAAAAATGAAGCTGGAGCTTTCCTTGGCCAAACACTCATTAGAAGCGATGAAGAAAAACAAATGTGCAGTGAAAAGCCTTTCTAAAATGGTGATGTAGCCTGCATAATCTTTATAAATGCACTGGCTCAAATACCTGATTTCCTCTAAGTGTGTGATAATGGAAAAGTACCAGAGGTTTCAAGTGGAGGTCAGGTGAGTTCTCATTCATACAAAGATTAACTCCATTAGAGCTGGGAGTCTTTAATGAAACATCTACCATTAAAGACAGAAGATGCAGGGCTCAGCAGAAACTCTGCCATCCTGGTTGCTTCAGAAATGAGCCTGGCCATGCAGCACAAAGCCTGGTTTCCCTTAGACAGCCCTTAATATATCTGCAGCCATAGCATGGTACTGTTGGCCAAGTCCTTTGTTAAAGAACTTGCTGCTCTTGGAGTTATCATAGAATCAAGGAATATCCTGAGTTGGAAGGGACCCACAAAGATCATCAAACCAACTCCTGCTCTGGGAAGGCTGAAAGGTGGCACCAAGGTCCTGCTGCTTCCCAGGCAATAGCTGTGTGTCTGGGACCACTAGAAAATACAAAAGGAGGGGTAAGGCATATGCCAGTGACTGCTGACTGGAAATGGTTATGGGAGCCAGATATCCATGGTATCACAAGCCCCAAGTGTGCAAAACACGACTACAAGAATAATTAAGTCATGCTTTTAAAGCAGAGGACATCACACTGTAAAACATTTTGATCCCTGTAGTGCCAGTATTAGATCTCAACATTTCATGTATTGCTCACCTTTCATGAGTTTTCCAGCTTGAGCATTTGGGAGGAAAAATAATCTAGGACTTGATTCCTAGGTGTAAAGTGGATGCTCTGCAGGGCTTAAGCAGAGCCCAGCTGCAGCAAGCCAGTTTAGCCCAGGAGCTGGGCATGTCTGGAAACACTGGGGTGATACACAGCACGTGTGGCATCCACAGGAGCATGAGCTGCTGGCCAGATTCTTAAATGCTTCCACTGTGCTTTTGGCTCTTAATTACTGGTGTTTTGAAGAAAACTGATGGATAAGGTAGTTTAATGATTCACCTGTTCTGGGGGAAAAAAAAAAAATTACAATACAATTTAGATAATGGTAATGTTCAGGAAAACTTCGAAGAGAAGATGGATAGGAAGAAGAAATCTGCAGAAAGAGTAGCAAACCAACTTGGACACCAGACCAGGCAACTTCAGTCTCTCTTTCAGGAACACATTTGTACATGAGCTAACAACTCTGCTACACTTTCATACGTCATTAGGCTAATGTTCTGTTTAAATAGAGTCATCAATCATTTTGTTATTAAACCCCTTTGTGCCTGGCAACAAATTGATGGGAAACGAAAGCATTAGTAGGTTGTTTGAGGATTATAAAACAGCACTTGTAAAGCTCCCCCTGCTTCAGTGGAAGGTGAAAAAGCACAGAGGAGCTAATTGATCGTGCCAAAACAAGCCTCTGAAAGTGCTGGGACTTAAATGGAAATAACCAATTGAGTTGCTTTTTATTTGTTCTGATATGCTTCAGTGTTCCAGGCATACATTTGGGTTGCATTTCCAGCTTTTTTCCCCTCACAAGTCCTGAAACTTGCATTCCTTAAAGAAAGAAACCAAAAAAAAAAGAAAAAAAAAGAAAAAGGAAAGCTGAGAGTCTCATGAAACCTACAGTTCCAGCAGCTTGTACCTTAAGGAAGATGAACTGATACTAGACTCCTTATTTCAGAATAAAATGCTATACTCTTGCTCAGAACTTATTAAATACCTAAAAATATATATTTTTCAGCATTTGGTCTTGGATATTTTTATCTTAGTAACTGGTTGCAGGGAGATTATAGTGCCTTGCTTAATTCTGTATTGAAGTTTTGCACTTAAACCAGGAGTAAAACTCTTCTGCCTCACAATCGCATTGCTAAGTTTAACTTCCATGTTACAGTCCCGGGTTTTTCAGGGAAGCCACGCTTTGTGCATCATGTCCTGTATGAAGCACATTTTGACTTTTCCCAGGAAGCAGTTAAAAATCCCATTTATTAGCCTTGTCAACAGCAGCTGTTGAAAGGCTATAGCCCTACTTGTTCTTCATTTCCACAGCTGTAGCTCCTCGAGGAGAACAATGGAAGGTCAAAGGCAGTGGCAGACTGTTTTCCTGCACTGAGGTCTAAGTCTTTCCCCAACCCTCATCAACTACAACACAGAGCACAGCTCTGAGTGGCACAGAGCAGGTGAAGACACCAGTTGCTCACTCTCTCTTCCAGCATAAGAAAGAGGTGCCTTTGACTGGCACTAGTAAGAGGCATGTTCAGAATGAAGGAAGAAGAGATGGTTCTTCACATGACAGCGGGGAGAACCACGACCTCCCTGCCCGAGGATGCCAAGATACAGGTGCTCACTGAGATTCAGGAGCAGCACTTGGACTGGGCAAGTGCTTGGAAATCCCATGAGGGTTAATAGACTGGCAAAACATCTTAGGGTTTGAACCTCTTAGGGGTTGGGCTGGGGGAAGAGAGCTCTGTTCTTGCCCACAGGCTTCAGTGCAGGGAGCACAGAATGGTTTGGGTTGGAAGGGAACTTAAAGATCATCTCACCCCAACCCCCCTTCCACTAGACCAGGTTGCTCAAAGATTCATCCAGCCTGGCCTTGAACACTTCCAGGGATAGGGATGAACTGCAAGTTGGGAGGAGACTCCTGCTTTCTTGTGCCAAACAAATTTTGCCTATTCACCTCGTGTTACTGACGCTGACAGGTCCAAAAGTCAGTCACATCTGCTTCCTGCCTACCAAGGGGCTTTTCCACTTACACAACAGCTTGAATTATACATATGAATATGGGAAGCAAAAGGCTTTTGAAGCTTGATTGTCTCACTCCAGCTCCTCACACCAGCAGGAGACGAGCAACAGCAGACTCTTGTCTGCTTCCTAAGCCCCACCAAATGAATATCTTTTGCCCTCAGCTCCAATTCCGCCGCAGAGAGCGAGGCAGAGGCCACCTGGCAGAGTGCCTGGGGAGGGTTCTGTCTGGTCACCTTGCTGTGACACACTTCAGACAGTGGCCTTGCAGAGCAAACAGAATTCAATTCACACTGAGAGGACAGCAGAGCAGATTGAAAGGCTCTGCAAAGCAACACAAGTCTCCTGGCCATCAACTGTATGTGCTAAAGACAAAACAGCTCCCTGAATCCTTACGTGCCATAAAAATGCCAAAAGCAGGAAAAAATAGATACAACTATTGCACTGTTATCCGTAAGAATTTTATGTCTCAGAATCCTCTGTGTACAAATGTTTCATTTTTTTCTTTAATAAGTACTAGCATGCCAGAAAGTATTGTAAAAGAGAAAGAGAGCATCAGGGGTAATATAATGCTGTGGAGAGGAATGAAAAGCTATCAAGCCCCACAATCTGGAAAGTGAGTTTATTTTCAGAGATTTGAGGGTGGAAACAACTTTTGTTTTAATTTTATGATGGAAGCCAACAGCCTTAATTCTTCCTTCATCACTAATTAGACAAGTAAGCATGACTAAGTTAATTTAGCTGGAGACTAAGTAATGAAAGAATAATCCCAAATTTACGTTTCCACTTGTAACCTTACTTCAGGACAGAATTAAGGTGATTTGGGTGCTTATTTTTGTATTTCTATGTCTTAAAACCTTTGGGCTTCTCTTTAAAATGTAAATTAAAGTTCAGTTTGAATTCAAATTCCTGAGTGTGTGTTTTCTCAAGGCTGGAGCATCTCTGTGGTGTGCTTTACCCATAGGCTCAACCTTAACTCTCTCATGTTGTTTTCTAGTGCTGTAGCCAAATACATGGTGTTAATAATCCACGTTCAGGCTGCATGCTGTGCACTACTGTCACATCCTAACAGAATCCCTTACTTTTAATGCAAATAAGCACAGTAGCAAATTGATACGTTTTTCCCATCTATTTTGGTTTTGAGAGGAACAGTGGATTAGCAAAGGCAGCAGATGCAGGAGCATTTACAGGAGCACAGGGGACACTGGCTGGTATAATCTGCCACAAAGTCACAGCTCTCTTGAGTCCTGTGAAATATTCATCAGCTGCTGGGCTGGCAGTGCCATTGGTGCCTCCACACCGAGCTCATTTCTGCCCCGTTCCCCTCCTCGAGGAGGTGGCACTGCCCTGCAGGAAGCAACGGAGCTGTTCCAGAAAGAGACACCAGGGGTGAGCTTTGTCAAAGCAGATGTGAATTTATGAAGGTTTGTTGTTTGTTTTTTTTTTTCTTGTGGAATCTTAAAGCTCTGATATAATTAGTTAAAAGCCTTTCTAATACCATCATGCTCCCGACAAGGTGCCTTCCTGGAAGTTCAAGGTAAAACCTTGGCTGATAAGGGACTGATGGTGCAAGGCAGAGCAAAGCATAGGGTGGGTGGATGCTACAGCCAACAACTAAACCCCTCTCCCCTTCCCAGCTGTGCCCAGGCACTGCTGCCCCCACCACTCCCACATTCCTATGCCTGAGCTTCTTCCATGCTTTCCCCACTCACGGAGCAACTCTTTTTTGAGGATATGTAGTAATGGACCTGATTTTCAACCCATTGTGTGTGTGACATGAATAGGCATTAAATCCATGAAGCATGAGCAGGGCTTCCAGCTCCATGACAGCCTTGCTCTGCCACCTCTGCCAGCTGTGCTTTCATATTTCAACGCTGCTAAAAATCAAAAAGTAAAAAGGCAGGCAAACACCACGGCTCTGCTTTTAGCCAGGCAGTTGAACTCCTGACATGCTGGCACTATTATTTTTGTTAACAATGTGGAAGGGATAATGTTACAGCAGGGCCTGGGGCTGGTCTGCAAAGGGCACTACAATCACTGGCAGGTGACTTATTTCTGTAGTACTGTAAGTCAAACTTGTGGTGTATGTGCTTTCTGTTCAAGCCAGATGAGAAAAGGTCCCCTTAGAGTAGGACTGCCAGCAACCAGCTCTCTGAGAGGGCAATCATCTAGTTAGCCAAGCTCCTCTCCCTGGAAAGTATTTTTTCTCCCTACAGGCCTCCTCTGTGCTCATTCCCTGCTCCCATGCCTACATCTCAACAGTATAAACATCTCCAGGTAAACAAGCAGGACACCTTTAGAAGCTTGTTTAGAGGACAGAAAACTCCAGTAACCCAGCCCAGCCATCAGGGCATTGACCAGAGCAGGAGAGACCCCAGGAGAAACCTGACAGGAACTCCCATGCACCACCCCAAGCTGAAAAACATTTGGAGTACCAGCAGACTCTCCTCTTAGAGCTTTGCCACTCTTCACAGCATAATTGAGCATTTGTTAGACCAGAAAGAGAAGGAAAATATGCACAAGATACTGCAGCTTTGGGGCACTAGAAATAGCTCTGAGTACTCTGTAAAATGAAGGTGCTTTCATTAAGAAACCTGGGGCCCAGAGCTTCTGAGTGTCTGGGGAGTGCTCAAACCAACAGAGGGTTCATGTTAAAAAAGGGATCTAGCAACTTTGGCACCACCCTTGGACAGAATTGTGAAGATGTTTTGGGGCTCAGACATGGGATGGACTCTTTTTTTTAGTACCTCAAGGTCAGCAGCCTGAGCAGCATATGCACAGAAATTTCCTGATCCTCTGAAATTACACCACAAGACAAATACCTGAATGCCACAAAGATGCTGCAGCAGCTCCAAACACTGCTAGAGAAATTTGTTATAACAGGAACCCTTCACCACATGCACTAAAACCTCAGAACCAGTACAACTGCTTTAGCAGTGCCAAGGACAAATTGAAGAGGAAAACACAAAATAAAAAGAATCTCTTCTAGTTTGTACAATAATAATAATAAAAAAACAAACCTCTGAAACAGTTAGTCATGATACCAAAAAGCATATTAAAATATTTTATGAAATAATATACTCTCAAAAGAATTAGAGAAAATAAAGGACAATAGAATTCATTGCCTAATGAAGTCATTGCTGGAGATATCTTACAGCACACAAACCCAATCCTTATGTTCATTTGGCCAAATATGGAAGGGAAAGTCTTCTGGTTTCAAGTATGAATAGTCTAAAATTAGCTCCATCCTGGGCCTTTGACACTGCCCACATTAGACTTTTCAACAGCAAGGTTGAACATGGAGAGACACCCCTGGAAGTGCTGAAGGTCAGGCTGGATAGGGCTTTGAGCAACCTAGTCACCTGGAATGTGTCCCTTCCCATGGCAGGGGGGGATAGAACTGTATGATCTTTAAGGTCCCTTCCAAACCAAACCACTCTATGATTCTGTGATTTAAAAAGCCTGAAAATCACTCATACTCAAACATAACTTCATAAAAATGCACAAGTAGCAATTCAGCAATCAGGTAAACGAAAATTTAAGGGGTAGAATAAACAGCACGAGGGACATCTTTAGTGTTATGGGAAGAACTGACCTCTTTGAGAACTTGGGGCTCATATTCCATTGGAAATGGTATTTTGCCTGCTGAAGCCCAGAGCCTTTAGTGGTCAAGGTAACACTTGCTGATGCCATCAGGGCTGTGGAATTTCACATGGCAAACAACTGGGTTGAAGCATCTCTGTGCTCTGCAAAATACAACTGGATATGATAAATCAATGAAATTACACCTTGCATCCACCCAGCACTATTAGGAGCTTTTGCTCAAAAGCTGCTTGTCCAAGGAAGCTGGGCCTGGGACAGCTTATCCAATATTTGTCCAAGCAGCAATTCTGGCAAGCCCCACGTAAATAAGGCGTCATTCCAAGCTGATAATCCAATAGAGTGATGTGTGCCACACACCAGAGAACACCAGGCTTCTTGCTGTGCACTGTCCTCACTATGGATCAGGTCCAGGAGTGATAAATGAGGGTTCTCAAGCTGTTTTCAGGGCTTCTCAGCAACTCACTGCTGAGGAAGGCTGGGCTGGAGAAGCAAAAAAAGCCTTCACTGACTTGCTGTGCAGCGGAGACCTACTGCAGCCTGTGAACTCTGGAGAAAGTCATTACCACAGTTAAAGTAGAAAAGTATTGAAAACACTTCTAGGAAACTTATGGAGACCTCCCAAACAACACTGAAGTGAGTGGGAAAACAGTTCTGTATTTTTATGATACCTGTGAAACAGAAAAGAAATCAGGAATCATCTCTCCACTCGTCCCATCATGATCAGGGTTTTCAGCACATGCAATGCTGCCCTGGGATCCCCCAGCAGCTCCAGCTGCTGATGGAAGATGCCACGAGAAGCTAAGAAATTACTAAATTACTCAATCCAACTAAATATTTTAACAAGGGAGATTGTTTGGTTACAAACAATATTTCTACCCCTGGGCAGGGAAGAGTTAAACACCCCAAGTCTGCACCACAGCACAGGATTTTTTTAATTATTTGCCTTTTTTTTTTCCTTCCTTTGAATGGGTTTGTTTGTTTCCCTTGGAGGCTGCAGGCTCACACAATAGGCAGATTTTTCAATTAAGCCATTTTTTTCCACTTTTAGTCTTCAATGGAGCCCAGGTGCCAATTGTTTGCTGCTTGATTTCTGCCTTCCCTTTCCTGCCTACAGCTTAACCCCTTTTTCTCCTTCCTGCTTTTGGGGGTGTCACTGATCAAATCCACTCCTGGTGCTGATGGCTGATAATACAGGCCATTACCAAGCTGTTTGGTAATTGTTTAAGTATGACTGACAATAAACAAGGCAGCATATAGACCTTTCATTGGTGAATTTAGCCACAGAAAGTCAAATATTAACTAGTCATCTTGCCTTTGAAGCCCTCTTCATAGCATATTTATTCATAAAGTAAAAGCATTTTTAAAAAAAGCCACAAATCACCTACAGCCATCTTAGGCAAGCCTCTTCTTATTTACTTCAGGAAGACTAACAAAGACATTGTAATGTTTTTTTTTCTTTTAAATCCCTCCTCACCCCATCACTTACTGCGAGGCAGCAAGTTTTAGCACAGAGCTGCCATCCTGTGCTCATGGAAGGCAACCTCTCTGACTGTTCCAGCCTCTGGAACACACAGGAAAAGGTTTTACACAGCTCAGGGATTAAGTTAGGCCCAGGCTGAGGCTCAGCTCAGTCACAGTGTCACTGCCAAAGGTATTAAACTCTTCCATAGATCAGATTGATCCTGGTTGTCATGTAGCCACTGTGCTGCTGTCAACATGCTCTGTTGCAGCTTACCCTGATATCCTGATCAAGTGCTTGGGGTTCTGCCTCATGTATTAAACATCAAACTGGGTGAGCAGATAAAATCCTCTCCCTGCCACATGTCTCTCCTGTGTGTTTGCTCTGCATCATTGTTATCAGAGAAAGGGAAAAGACGGACCAGTTTTAAAGCTGTAATGTCAGAGTTGCACCTGATTCACATCCCCTGCAGCTGTCAGTCCTCATCCAGTGAGGGAATGAGATCAGGGAAAAGGGAGGAGAAAGGGGAGTTAATAAAAAAAACCAGCAGAACCACCAAGAATGGAGAATGCCAGGATGAATCTAAAACTATGCTCTTCAACAGTTCAAAGAGCACATTTTTAAGAGCAAGACATCCAACCCGGCATGACGGACTTGCACTCTTTTCAGATTTTCCTGGCACCAGAATCCATTTAAAATCCCATCTGTGGAGATGGGATGCTCCTTTCAGCCTTGCAGAGGTTCTTCTCCTGCACCACACACCAGCCAACAACTCTTCCTGTACCACTCAGGCCTGAGCCATGTGTGGCCACCTGCCTTCTTGTTCTGTTTGTGTGGGAGTTTTTTTTGTTGTTTTTTTTTTTTTTTTTTTGTTTTCCTGAAAGCCAAGAAAAAATTAAATATCAAAATTTTAAAAAGAACCCCCAAAGGTATGAAATGTGAGCATAAATAGCCAAATAAAACAAAACTGAGCTACTAAGAGACACCATACTCTAGAGCAACAGTGATGGGGTGGGTGGGAAGAAATATTAAGGGACAAATCTAAAACCATCTAGGAGGGTTTATGCACAATGTTTACATCCCAGACACCAGTTGGAAGTGAAGATTTAGTGATTTATCATATCCCAATTCACTCCTCTCTGCAAAAGCAGAACCAGCAGAGCGTGTCTCTGAACATGCTGCTTGCTAAAAGGCATCACCCACAAAACTGGAACAGCTTCACCCTTGGCAAACACTGTCCCCTTGGGGCCTTCTGAAGAGCTGGGATTTAGGAGAAGGCCTTGCAGGGGAACAGAGTTTCAAGTGTCAGAGGATTTAAAAATATATAAGGCTATGAAACCTGATGGGACCTGGAAGAAACTGAAGGAGCAGGTATCTCAGCAGAGGATCTTTGGCCAGTGAAGCCAGATAACCCTCAAAATCCATTAATGGAGGACTTGGGAGTGAAGCCCAGCAGGAGATGCTGGTGACACGATGTGCCCCAGGTGAGGGGGTTCCCAGAGAACCCAGAAGCCCATGCCTTGCAGGCAGGATCTGACTGGTACCACAGCACCTGCCTTAGGACAAACCTCATCTTTCATGAACCACACAGACATGGTGTGTATATGACTGCTGCTCTTCAGACTTGGTTGAAATCAGCACTGGGTCCCAAAACTGAAGGAGAAACCTTGTATAGACAGTTCCTCATTCAAGGCTCAGTTCCAACACCAGGCTGAAAACCTGGCATCCAGATGCACTTGGCAGGGATTATTAAATCAAGTGGAAGACCATTTCAGGGTTTCCTTCAGTTGATTGTTAAGGAACTTATTTGGAACAAGCTTCCTCCCCAAGAGAGATTTCAATTCTACCCATGCACACAGAGGAGAAGAAATTAATACAGTGTTAAGACAGCTCAGCACTGAGAGCAGCACGCACAGGCTGAGCAGAAAGTTATGTGAGACCAAAAACTAGGTATTAGCAATTTTTCAAGGACAAAGCTGTGAAGTTTCCAATGACAACAACAGTTTTCCCCCTTGCAAATTGGCCCAGCAGACACATGTCCTCCTGTGCCATCAGGGAACACACTCACACCGGGTCATCCCTGGGAGCTCCAAGTGACAGGAATCATTTCTCCCTAAAGGAAAACCTTAAAGATTGCACTTTGCATAATAAAATAATGAAAAAAAACCCCAAACTCTGACTCTGGAATCCTAAAAACAGGGTATATGCAGGTGAGACTTTCCCTCTGGTTCTGCTTTCCATGCAGGTTTCAGGCTGACTTTGCCTTCGGAATCTTGCCTAGTTCCAGGCATTACATAGCTGTAGTGATTAATTGCAGCATGTTACAGCTGAGATTTAAGCTTCTCTTGGATTTGTGGGTTTTATTTACCCACCATAACCAACTTGTGCAATCCATGGACTTGGGAGACATCAGTAAAATGGTTCATAAAATATTAAGGGCCATGTTTCCAAATGACATTGATGGGAGAGCTGTGGGAACTGAACTGGTAGCAGGGTATAACTAACCCAGGGTAAGTTTAGATCATTATGTTTCCAAGCAAAAAGAGGGTGCATAATAGCTTTTGATCTTCAGTGGCCAGTGTATTTTGGAAATAGGCTAACATATGTAGTCTTTCTGAAGGCTCTGATTCCAAATCCATGTGTGGATGTAATTTAATGCACAGTGCTTTATGCAATTATACCTACAGATGCCTAAGTGAGAATTTAAATTAGCATTAACTTGATAGCTTTTGCTAAAGGCAGACAAATGCAAACAGGCACTGGGCAGATTTTCCTGTAAAGCTCTGCTGATCCCCATCACTTCCCAAGGCACTGCTCCAAATGTAAACCCCGGGGATCGTTTTAGCAATTAGGCCTTGGCCAGCAAGAGCCTCTCTGCCCATGTGGACTCAGAAATGAGACCCCAACTCTGCACAAGCCACATCTCCACAATGCAACAGAAGGAATGATGCTCAAACACAAGGACCCCACAGGTTCACATAAGGATAATCTTTACCCAGAAATTCTTACAAATCCATGTATACCAGTCTGAGGACCTGGACATTATATGCAAGAAAACCATTATTGACAGAAATCTGTGTGAAGATTGACCCATTGCCTCCAAGAAATGCTGTTTTGCTTCTGAGAACTGTCAAAGTCGCTGCACAGGAATTTCACAGTTGGTCTGTGCACAGGTTGAGCCTCAGGCATGTTGCACTTACTGCATGTGGTTTGTTCCTGCAATACCTGCGTCCAGAAAACAGGCTGACCCCTCTTTTTCTTCCCAGAAGCCCTAAATAAGACAAATTATCCAAGTAACACATAGGTGAGAGCCAGTGTCTCACAGTTCTCCTGCACTGAACCACAACTCATCACTTGCCCTCGATGCTTCTTGGATGGCCAGCACCCAAAACCCAGGAGGACTAAAGGACATGATGGGATGTCTATTTTAAACACTGAGGTTTGCAGACACAGCTTGTTGCAACTTCAAAGCTGCCTATACCCCAAAAGCAACCTCTGACCTCAATAAAACAACTGAATTTGTCAGTTGTGGGTTCGATCCCTGTAGGGGCTGTTCACTTAAGAGTTGGACTTGATGATCCTGGTGGGTCCTTTCCAATCAGAATATTCTGTGAAATAAGGATCAATCTACCCAAAGGGAATTCCTGATTACTCCAAACCAAATTAGTAGTATTTTTGTCCATC